ACACACACAGAGAGAGAGAGAGAGAGAGAGAGAGAGAGAGAGAGGGGCCGACCAGGGGATGTATTTGACGGGGAAGCCATCAGATTCGGTGCGAACCCTGATGAGGGAATCGGGGACTTTCTTGTTGAGTTCTTTGAGGATTTCAGAGAGAGGGCGGCTGATTCCAGAGGTGGGAACTAGGTCCTCCAAGTCTTCTTCTTTTTCTGATGACGGAATCGAGGACTCTCTCATCGTCGCACCATTCAAAGAAGAAGAAGAAGAGGCCTTGGCTTTGGCAGCAGCGTAAAAACGGTTAGAAGAGCTTCGCAAAACCAACAACCATTCCCAACCAGCTGACACTGATGATGATGATTTTGCTACACATTTCACTCCCCTCGTCAGGGACGATGCCATTTTGCTCCTTTCTTGCTCTGTCTCCTCAAGGGTTTATAATACCCCCGAGACAACTTTTGTTTTGAGCTCTATTCACTTGTTTGTTTGGTTCCTATGGTGGTGGTGAATCACTTATCCAAAATGGCACACTTAATTCCCTGTCATAGGACGATGGATGCATCAAATATAGCAAATCGGTATTTTAAAGAGATATTTTGTTTATATGGCATCCCTTGGTCAATTACTTTTGATTGTGACTCAAAGTTCATTGGACATTTATGGAGGACTTTTATGGAAGAAAATAGGGACTAACTTAGCATCTTATCATCCCCCCAAAAAATGACCAAATAAGTGGTTAATTGCAGTTTGGTTTAGATAACTTGTGGCGATGCTTAATAGCAAACAAACCTAAAGAATCGGATTTGGTAGTACCTTATGCTGACTTTTCTTATAACAAATCTAAAAACCACACTGCTCAACTGAGTCCATTTGAGATTGTTAATGGACAAAGTCCAAACACTGTTTTCGATCTAGTTCCCATTACAAATTCAAAGAATGCTAGCATGAGAGCTGAAGAAATGACTGATAATATCATGTCCATACATGAGAAAGTGCGATGACAAATTGAAATAACCAACACAAAGATAAAGCAGTTGCAGATGTTCATAGTTGCAAGGTTACTTTTAAAAAAGGAGATCAACTGTGGATTGTATTAACAATAGATTGAGTTCCAGCAAGTCTAAACTATGAGTTGCATGATCGAAAAATTGGACCTTGTAGAATTTTGAACAAAATCAACACTTACCAGATGCAGTTGCCAAACCACATTCATGCCTTAGATGTTTTTAATGTCAAGCATCTCCATCGTTACAAGGGTGACTTGTCTGAGGATTTAAACTTGAGGGCAAGTTTCTCGCAACCAGGTGGGTCTGATACAGTGGTTGAATCCTTCAAGTAAAAGGATTTGCGTTTTCTAAACACAGAAGTTATGGAGTTGTCGTTTCAAGATTGAGAAGTGATAATATTCAAATTTTGTTCCTATATAAACTTGGTGTATCTAATCAAGAGGTCATATTGAAGTTATCAAATATTTATTTTCATCATGTACTCATTCGTTATCTATAAAATGATTACTTTTTTTGCTGATAGTAAAAAATAAAAAATAAAAAAGTAGTATCATAAGCTATATTCAGCTTTATCTTGGGTTGCTTGGGTATTCATACTCTACTTAGTTCCTCCTTCATCTCCCTAATTGACCTTGTAATCCTCTATGCACCTGTAGACACCTCATTTTTGACCGTCCTCAAGACTTGGACGTCACCGTTTGAACACTCGGTGATCATCCATGTTTGTGTTCGTCTTGAGTTCCCGGAGGTCTCAGCTTGCGCGCCTTGCCTCAGAATCTCTCGACTCGACTGTTTAGTGTCTGGTTTTGCACCAAACACTTGTGTTTTGCCTTGGAAGGGCAGGGAACGCCTTGTGAGGCATCCCCACACATCACTGGCCATGGCCATAGGCCACCGGCTGGTATTTTGTTGCCATCGGCAATGTATACTGTCGGTCGGCATTATTTGTTGCCGGTCGGCACTCCTTTTTTGTCAAATGGCAATTTTGAGCAGCCAACTACTGTCCATCTACTTTTTGTAGATATTTTGTGCCAGCTGTGATAGCTGGCACCCACTCTGTTCCCCTCCATACATGTGTATGGAGGGATTTCCCTTTAAGGAAGCTTGTTTGGAAAGCTTTGCAAAAGGGGACTTCTATAAGAGGAGGTCTCTTCTCCTTGTTCTAGGGTTAGACATTTTAGAGAGGAAAGACATTGTTAGAAGCTCTGGTTCTAGGGTTAGGGCTTATACATATTCCATCTCTATTTCTCTCCCTCTTTTTACCTTTGTGTGTGTATTAGTGTATTTGTGTCTTACTATTGCACACAAACACATAGTGTTACACCTTCCCTTGGCTATTGAGGTTCTAAGAGGTTGTTCTTGAGGTTTTGGGGCTGGTTTAAGCTCAAGGAAGCAGCTGGTCCACCATTTTTGAAGAAGGTCTTCAAGGGTAACGATCTCGCGCTTTTGTTCCCCATTCTTGCATTGTATTTTTGCCTATCTTTGAACTATTTTTGTGCTTAGTGTATAACATAAAAAAGTTCTGTTTTTAGCCCATCTAAATAGTTTGTTTAGAGTGTTTTGTGGTTTGGAGGTGTTTGACCCCTCTTAGGCCTTGAGAGGCCCCATTTTATGCTATTTTGAGTGAGCTCTGGGACTTTGGTGTTTGGGCCTCCTCACCACTGAAATCTTGAGGGATTTCAGAGGTGAGGATGGTGCCTTGAAGTCCCAAGAAGGAGAGGGCCACCCCCTCTCCTTGTTGTCCTTGAAAAGGACCATTTTTGGCCTCTTGAGGGAGCACCTAGCTAAGCTTCATGTTGACCATGCCTTAGTTGTTTTTTGTACTTATTATGTCATAATATGCCTCTGTTTTTTGTTGGTTTTGGTACACCATGCATGCTTAGCATACCTACATTGTAATGCCATGTTTAGCCCTTAATACGCTTTAGGTTGTAAACCATTGTCCTAGCATGTTTTAGGTCTAGCTTTGTGAAGCTTTTGTGCTTATTTTGCCATGCTTGAGGTCTGTCCATAGTTTTTTGAGTCGGCCATGGCATGCATTGTATAGCCCCTTTGCATTTTTGGCTTGTTGGCCTTAAGTGTGTGAATGCGTAGCATGCATCATTGCCTTAATTTAGTGATTCGGAACCATTTGCCATGTTATTTCAGTCCCTTTAACATGCTTGTATGCTTGCTTTGGATGCCTCTTTGAAGCTTTGGAAGCTTGTGTAGCATGCTCCATGTTTCGGCATTTGTGCATGCTTTGGAATTTAGGTCATTTAGATGCCATCTAGGTGATTCTTGAGGCTTACTTTTGCATGATTTGGGACTGTTTTGATTCAATTTGGTCATTTGCTTCACGAGTCATATGATCATGTTTTAGGTCCTTGGGCTTGGTTGCATGCGTAGCTTGCATTGGTAGGTTGATTTGGCATCATTTCCTACATGTTTTCAAGGCTTAATTTGCATGCCATATGTCCATGTTTACACCCTCTTGAGTGTGCTCGAGAATTGCTCTTTAAGGCGTAAGTGTTGGCCCTTGTGTGCATGCATATTTGCATGTCATTTAGTCCTCATTTCATGGCACTTTGGCCACTGTTTTGGGCCTAGCATAGGGCTGTCCAAATTAGTGTAAGACCATCCTCTTATGTCATTGCATGCATGCCTTGCATATCACCACATATTCGCTCCATTTCACCTTGTGGTGCATGCCATGCGTAATTGCATTGTGTCGCAGTGCTTGAGTTGCATAATATGTTGTTGTATGCTTAGGTTGTAGTACATTTGGCATGTATTCTCTCCTTTAGCCACTTAACATGTTGTTGCATGTTTGTGCATTACCCATGTTTATGCTTGCATGCTTGCTATCATGATCATATTGCATGCTAGTTTACATGCTTAGGATTGCATTCCACTTGCATGCATGCTTGGCCTCTTGAAATGTTTGTGATAGAGGTTAAGTCTCTTTGGCTTATTGGTTTGCATTACATTTGACATGAAAATGCATAACTTGGTCTCTTGGGCCATCACGTATTGAAATGCGCAATTGATGGTCCGAGAACCAAGAAGCATGTCCCCTCGAGTCACTGACATGATAAGGGACATGATTGGTGCATACATTGCTTGAATTGTATTATAGCGATCCCGGGTTTACCCTTGTTGTACAGTGATCCGGACATGTGTCCGTGGATGTTGGTAGTTGATTATTATTTTGTTTACATCCTTTTTACTTTGTATTTAAGTTGCAGGATGTGTTGGGCGGGTTTGTTACAGGTTGGTTGAGTTTTGAAACCAAAACTAGTTGCCCAGATTTTGGCCTGTACGCTCGAGCGGGGGTTTGGGCGCTCGAGCGGGGAATACATCCATCCAATATTTCCTGTGCAGTGTTGGACGCTCGAGCGTGGAGTTGGCCGCTCGAGCGGGGTTGTGTGAGTGCCGCTCGAGCGGGGAGTTGGACGGTCGAGCAGAGGCCTGGTTCTGTAAAAGTGCTGGGAGAGTGCATTCGGCGCTCGAGCGGGATCTTGGACGCTCGAGCGTAAGTCTGTGAGTGACGCTCGAGCGGGGTGTTTTACGCTCGAGCGGGAGACTGGGTTTAAGTCTCGAAGTTGTGACTTTTCAAATCACTTTTTCACTTTCTCTTCTCTCTCCTACTTTTCCAAAATCACCATTGTTGGGCCCCTCACTCTAGACTCTACCTTCTCTCTAGGTTTTGATCTAGTAGGAGTGATTTGCTCACTTTTGGCCTTTACAAAAAAGTTGTTGATCGTCGAGGGCTACATTTTAATCTGAAAATCTCGAGTTTTGGAGCACGTTGGGTTTTGTCATCTTCTCCTTTGGGGCTCCGAATTTGAGGTAGGGATACCCTACTTCTCTCTATGGATTTTGTCTTTAAATTTTAGTATTTTGAGATGTTGGGGTTGGTTTGGTAATTTTGTGAAAGTTTGGGGCTTTTGTGTAAATTTACAAAAGTTAGGATTTTAGCTATATAAAACCTAGATGCATGTTTGGCATGGAAAAGTGAAATTAATGTTAAAACATTAATGAAAATGGAACCTAAGGATTGTAATGTTAATTATGGAAAATGCCCTAATTACATTGGTTAATTAATTCGCATAATTAATTATGAGGAATGAGAAATTGATTTGGAAATGTATGGAATTAAAGGGTGTAGTTGGATTATTTATCACTCACCTGGTTGAAATGTTGATTATATATCCATTGTTGCATTTATTTTCTGTATAGAAATAACTGCTTTGGGCTATCGGTGGAGGATAGTCTTGATTGTTGTAGACAATGCATGATGATTAGGCAAACGGAAACTAATCAATGGAATGTGTCATGGAATTTGACGGTTGATAAATCAAGAAATTTGGATTGGGATATTGAAGTTCCCACAAGACATGGGGGTTAGAAACCCCATTTTTCTTAATATATACTAGCATATCACCCGTGATATGCACGGATTGTGTTTACAATTATCTATATATGTGAATTGTGA